TAAGCGATTATGGGAGAATTGTTCTGTCTTGGCCATAGGTAAATCATGCAATATGCTTCACTGAATAAGACCTCTTAAAATTATATTGGGATCTATAAATTCGGTCTGGACAAAGGATGAAGCCTTTATGGTAGGGTAATGACAGTGTCACAGTAAAGCAAAATATAACTGAACTGATGGTTTAGAGAGTTTGTCGCCGATGTTGTTCTTTCACTGGCTTTACTTTGGGAAAAGATAACATTGATTTCACTGGGTTTCTGTTTCCCATTTGTAAGGCTAATAGAAGAGCACTGTTTCCAAATGTCCTTTCCAGCTCAATAAATCATATGTGGCTCTCTTTTCTGTTTTGTTTTGCTTCCTTTGTTTTTTGAGACAGAGTTTCTCTGTAGGTTTGGAAACTGTCCTGGAACTTTCTTTAAAGACCAGGCTGGCCTCAAACTCACAGAGATCTGCCTGCCTCTGCCTCCAGAGTGCTGGGATTAAAGGGGTGCGCCACCACTGCCAAGCTTTTATGTGGCTCTTGTAGTATGTTTTAGTTGCAAATATAAGATTGTTGATGTCAATTCTATTAGTTGTTGTATGTTCATTCATTAAAACCCTGCTAATTTTAAAATTGGAATGTTAATTTTCGTGGACCCATCTAGAATCATATCCTATCTTACACTTTCCAATACTGGAAATCACTGCCAAACTGAATAGCTTGCCTTTCCTTTTCTGTAGGGTAACCCTCAGTCCGGCAAAGGCTAGACTTTGCTGAATTTTCTGGGGAGACTACTACTCTGAGAAGGACAGAATTGCTGAAAGTTTAATTAAGATTAGTTTACATGATGGCAGAGACTGGAATTTTTAATTCATATTTGTTATGATGATTACCATACAGTCCTTGAAGAATATTTTTACTTGCAAATACAGAACACAATTACCATAGATCACAATTAAACTCTGTTATATTTTCTTGAAAAGGAATAATCAGATTTTTCTTTTTGTTATAAAATAGAAAACAGAGTAAATGTAAAACTTGAACTTTGATTTAAATCCCTGTTTATTATTCAATCATACAAACGGTCATTTCTATTATCGAAATAACTCTTGAAACATGTTTTTTTTATGAATTCATATGTTATACATAAAATTACTGTTATGCTACTTAGTTATTCTTTTTTTTTTGGTTTTTCAAGACAGGGTTTCTCTGTGTAATTTTAGAACCTATCCTGGCACTTGCTCTGGAGACAAGGCTGGCCTGGAACTCACAGAGATCGGCCTGCCTCTGCCTCCCTGGTGCTGGGATTAAAAGCGTGTGCCACCAATGCCCGGCATTGTTAGTTATTCTTAACTCATTAACTTGAATTTATTTCTAATTTGAATTTATTTCTAATACTTTTCTTCTGTTATAAATTATGGAGGTCTTATGTGAACTTTAAAATGAAAGTTTAAATTGTTGAGGCTTCTCTGCACAGTAAATCTAGATTTTTATTAATTTGTTAATACTTCTTAAGTAAATGACCAAAAAGAAGTCTGCAAGTTGCTAAATCTCAATTATCTTACCACTAACATTTGCATTAGAAAAAATACAAACTTTATAGAGATTGTGAGGAACACTATTTTCATTAAGTTATCAATCAATAAATGTTATCATGGGTCATGAACATGCTGAATGTGAATCTACAAATGGACAGCCATGGGGCAATTATATGTAAAATTGGATTTCTAACAATGGCCAAACTTAGATTCTTACAAAACCAATTACTTGTCCACATAAACCTGCATAAAGTCAAATGCCTTTCTTTAGAAATAGCACAACAAGATTAATACAAATTTCTTTAGCATTTAATGTAAAGTCACCATGATTTGATTAGTAACTGACTGCTTTCCTAAATTAGTAGCCAGCATTTCTGTTTTAGTTAGCCTGAGGTCAACCTCCCCACTCCAACAGTCTCCAACTTGGTCATATGTTTAACCTTCATTTGCTCTCATATTTAGTTACTCTTACATTTTTTTTTTTACATCTTTGCTAAAATTCAAGTGACAATGACTGACTTCCTTTCAAAGCAAATGAATCACTTTGGCTTTTTCATTCAGTTAATTTTCTGATAGTGCCTTGCACAGTGAGACAATAATAAAAATTCTTGACATTGTTATACTATACAGCATATGACCAGGTGTAGTGAACGCATCAGGGAAAAACATCATTGTATGTGTAATTTTGTAATTTTGAACCTCCTTATTTCAATAAAAGCTTGTTTTGGTGTAATTAACAGTACTTACCTTACATTTCACAGCATTTTAGATAAGCACCAGATTGTCCCACAATTACCCCATTCTAAACTCAGAAGTTATGTTTGGTTCTGTTACAGGTATAAAACAATCAAAATTGAAGTTGTACATAGTTTCCTTATTTAGAATTCATATCCAGAGAGGGAAATGCATGAATTCCCTGTACCTGACTTCAGTAGTACTTTTCTTAGTGTACTTTTTCTAGTTGTTTTTCTCAATATTTAGGGTTGTCAAAAGTACATAATGAATTTTAATGCTTTCATAATTTATCTAAGGAGATGGTACAAGTAATATTTAGTGGAGATGGGACTTTTTAAGTAAATTATTCAATGTAACACAGTAAGATGTCCTTGTACACGGAAAGGTCCTTCAGGGTAAGGAATATAGAACATAAAAAAGAAAGAAGCACATGCTTTTTCTAGAAGAGTCAAGGCAGGTCTAACAGAGAAGTGGGTATCTGAGCAACTACTGAAAATATTTACATTTCTGTTCAGCCATACATCTGGCAGAAAGGTGCTTCAGAAGAAGAAATTAGCAGCAAAAGTTGTGAAATATGCACTGGCTGAACTGATCGCAATGGAACAGAGAGGACTTCATTGCTGGAGTAAGGAGGTGGGAAGACATGGCAGGACTTAAATTAGAGGTGGGAAGCAGGGAAATTTGCCTTCCTAATTTAACAAGTAGACTAAATATATGAAGAAAGAATCTCATGGTGTTGTGAATAAGAATGGTTACTCACTGGGACATATTGATGTCCGTGGCCTATGTTGAATCTGTGGGCCAAGATATTGTTTGTGATCCATGTTACCATTGAATGGCATGTAGATGTTCATAGTCTGTACTGTCACCTGAATTCATGTTGATGTCTTCGAGCTGTGGTACCAGCAATGGCCATTATGGTGTCTGGGTCTGTGCTGCTGCCATGTGGAAGTCTGTGTTCTATTCTGCTGCTGACTGTAAAAGGCTAGGAAGCTTATTTTGCATGTTGATGACTGGCAACTCACAGTTGAGAATGAGAGACAATAGAAGGCTTCTGTGGCAAGATCTCCCCTGACACCATCCCCCCAAAAACATTCTAGACATGAAACCATTGATGAGAACTCTTAAAGAATGTGCTAAATCCTAGCTTGTCACAGTTGATGGCTTCTGTCCCTGTGCTTTCATTATGGGAACATCCTCTGTGGCATGAGCCTCCTCCTTGTGGAAGAACACTCAAAGAATAGCTAATGTTACTCCCACAGCTATCAGTGGTCAATAGCTCCTCATCGAGGAGTGGGACCCTCCCTCACACACACGCTAAAATTTTAACTAACTTGATCTTGCACAGCTAACCACAAGTTGTTGTGGGCTCATATGTTCACCACTCATATTAGCTCCAAAGAAATGTATTTCATAGCTGTCTTTAAAATCCTCCACTCTTGCATTCGTTCTGTCGCTCTTCCATGAGGTTCCATGTGCAGGCTGATACAGATACATCAACTATGCCTGAACATTCACAGTGGGGAATTTCTTGCACTTGGGAAGAGGTATGAGACTCTGTTGTAACTACCGTTCACTTTAATTAAATCACGAACAAGACCAAGGCTGAAAGTAACTCAAATCTATTTTAATACATTAGAAATAGTTAATAATTATGATCTAAGAGTCACAGTAGTATATTCTTTTCAAATATCCATGACCTCAAAAGCTTGGGGGAATCTGGCTAAGTTTTAAACACCAGACCTGATTTTGTTCCTGTTGAGTGGGTCTTAAATTCAATTAGATAGCTGTTGGTTAGCAGTTGCATGTGAGTGCCATTTTCCAAATATCTTGCTATGATAGTAATTATTCCGGCTCATAGATATTTCAGCTTGTAAGGACTTTTAACAAATTCCATTCTATGACAGTTTACATAGTATTTTCTGGTACCATGGAAGCTACCTTTCCACCAAGTCACTTTCAGATCAGATCCATCTTAACACATGCTAGTTTTATGTCCTAGGTGAACACTGTTATCAGCAAAAAATGTCCACCATCAAATCCTGACAGGCCACTAAAGGCTATATCAATCAGTAGTCTATATATTTTGGGGGAATTACATGGAATACCCTTACCATTCAAACCGTGGTTTGTAGGGGAAGCTGTAGCCACGCCTCCTTAGGGGCTGGCTAAAGGTGTGCCTGACCACTCCTTTGAGGGCGTGGTCAGCGTGATGTAGAGTGAGAGTTGGTCAGGTGGCTGGTTTCTGGTTTCGGTTTCACTTGTTTGCTGTAGAGACTGCTGCCAGCAGGCTGGCTAGGTCACTCTGTAAGTAAGGCTTTTCACTATTAACATGCCTTGTATCTCTACCTGGCTCTGTATTGGTAATTTCCCGCCATAGTGGTTTCCCATTTTTGGGTCAAGGGTTGGGATTTTTGTCAGGCTATATGGTTGATTCTTGTAGGGAGCATTGACATTAACATGGATTAATTTTTTGTATAGATTTTTAGTATTTAATATTGAAATATTTTATGCATATGTAGATCCTTTAATATTTAATTTACATAACTTGCATATATGACTCTTCTTTAACATATATAACATACAATTTTAGTAAATTGAAGATATGATTTTTGAAGTTTTTATCAAACATTACTGGCATTATTTATCCAAATCCCCCTTCCCTCATTTCTAATTCTCAATGAGGGAGGGGTCTATTGACCTCCCTCTTAGTTCCTCAGTTGAAACCTTCTTTCATTTCATTTCACCAGTATCTTGCGGTGACACCTATTTATGCCTGTGGTACCATTTACATTCCTGATTTCCGTGGTTACTGCATCTTGTGTGTTAATATCTGAAGATTTGGAGATTGGAATAGCAGAAGAAAGAGAACATGAGGTATTTGTCATTTTGAGTATTATGCACTGCCAAAGGATACCTAATTAAGATACTACCGAAATGTTTTAAGTCTTTTTATTGCCCAACAGTATAGCTATCATGATTATGTTAACAATTTAAAATTTGGATGCTGTCTTAGCTAGGGTATCTATTGCTGTGAAGACACCATGGCCATAGCAACTTTTACAAAGGAAAATATTTAATATGGGTGGCATATAGTTTCAGAAATTGGGTTCCATTATCATGATAGCAGGAAATATGGGGGCATGCAAGAAGGCATGGTACTAGAGAAAGAGCTAGAATTCAGCATCTTGATGTGGAGGCAACAAGAAGTGAACTGTGTCACTGGTGTAACTTAAGCATAAGAGACCTCAAAGTCCAACCTCCAAGGTGACCATTTCTAACAAGGCCATACCTACTCCAACAAAGTGACACGAGGAACATTTTTATTCAAAATGCTACAGATGCAAAGTAACTCATTTAAAATTCTTTAACAATTTGTAATAATTTAATTATCCTAGATTTCATATTTTATACTCAAATTATCTGAAGTTAAATCTTAATTTTCCTGAAATTCCTAGAAGCACATATTTACATCCTATTGTATGAATATTTCATTGTATTTATTTTATTTTTATCTCATAGCATTTACAGCAACTATTCATTCAGTAAATAAAAAATTATTTTCCTTTACATATAAGAAGAAACATATATATGTACTTATTTAATATATTAGATGAATATAAATGTTAGACAAACAATGAGCATATGACTAAATATTAACACTTGCTTTTAACCTGAGAAGAACTATAGGAAAGGAATCACTGGTGAGATTAGGCAAAGGAAAACTAGTAGTTGCTATTTATTGTATAGTATAGGGTACTTGAGAGGTCAGAACTGTTAGATATTTAAAAATATGAAGAAACAACCAAAGAAAAGACATATGGGGAAAGAGAAATATTGACTCTTACTGTTTAGGTGACTATAACTAAGTGAATATTTCAAGTAATTGTGCAATTATTTAGTAAAACCATTTAAGCAATCCTTGAACAAGAGAAATAATGTTAATATTATAAAAAATTGTATACATGCATATAATTACATGTACAATTATATATACATATACTTTTATTCTATACTTTTACTAATTATTGAAGCAGTGTATAATGTAGTGAACAATATTTCTCCAAGTTTTCTCCAAATTTCTCCAATTTTTTTCTTCTTCTGTAACTGTAGAGATAGAGTTATCATCATTGAAGTGAAAAAAAATATTTATTGAGTCAATGTTTTTATATTTTTAGTTTAGGTACTTTCTTATACTGAATAGTTAAACATATGATTTAAAAAGATGTGATGGGCTTTTAAAAACTTCTCTTTGATAATGATGTTATTATTGGTAGAAAACAAAAAACAACCACTGTAAAAAAAATACATGTAGAAAAGGAAAAGAGGTTACACACACACACAACTGAAGAAAGTGAGAGGTGTTATTTGTTCCTAGAAAAATGAGGTATTTTATTTTTTACAAATTAATCTATATTAGATGTGATTAACTTTACATGTGGGAGATCACCTCATATATTTATTAGTATCTATCTCAAGACATGCCAAAATATGATGGATTTTGATAGATTTTGTCATTTAAATTTCCACTGAACACCTTGTGTTTGTGGTTTGAATGATAATGCTCCCATCTCAATGGGTTCACATGTCTTTATATTTGTTTACCCACTTGTGGAAATGTTTAGGAAGATTTAGGAGGTGAGAATTTGGATGAGGTATATCACTGGGAGAGTTTTCTGAAGACTCATGTCATTTATGCTCTTTGCTTCCAGTTATTACATCAAAATGTGAGCCATCAGCTGTCCTCGCCAACTGTCTTTGTTCCACCATCAAGAACTATGACCTTCTGAAACTGTAAGCTCCATCCTATGCTACTTTTCTTGTAATAAATTGCCTTGGTAACACTGTTTTGTCAAAGCAATAGAAAAGTCACTAATACAGTTTGACACCAAAGTAGGCACATCTATGCCTGCCTTCCAGCTCTAAAGCGTGTGCACCAAATGGGATTTATTAAGTGAGATATGGGTGATGACAAGCTTGTGCTGCTTCTTGCTACTTTTCTACCTGTTATGAACTTTCCACATGCTGAAGTAAAAATCTGCTACAATCAACCATAATTTGAAAGCCACTCTGAGAGACAGAACAAGGAGTCTTGGTAGTTGATTACTGTTGAGGATCATGCATGTGAAAACAACTCTGTTATTTTCTCAGACTCATGCATGAAAAAAAAAAAAGAAAATGATTTTCTATGTCATAGAATTTATTAGTATTCTCCTTATTTTCCTACTTGAAGTGGAGGCAACACCAACATGAACAATTATAAGGCAAATATTGTCTCTTTTTACTACACAAGAGTAAAGAAAAGTAAACATTAGGAAGAAAATCCATGTTATCGGTGAAGTAAAGCATATATGCTGTTTAACTGGTCACAGTTGAAAGCCAATAATGGCAAAAGAAGCAGCAACAGCAGTCTATATCAGGTAATAACAACCATAGGGAACTTAAAATCAAGTTGTGGTGTCTGCTTAAAAGAAGAAGTAAAGAAATACTAACATATAAATAAATGACTCTGTGCCTAAGAATACACTTCAAAAATGTTTACAGACTAACTCTGAATGACAGAATTAATCTCATATCTTTTACTTTCTTCTTTAAAAGCAATATTTGGTTTAAGATATTTGGCTTGATACTCCATTTAACAGCACCAAAACCATTGTTGATCAAGCTCATCCACAATGCTCCCAAACCAATTCTCCTATGTTCTCCCAATAGCAGTTATAGAGTACTTGGAATGATTTAGAAGTAATTTGGCAAGCTAAAGTTCAAAATGAATTTATTTTAATTAAGGAACACCATGCTGAATAATTAAATTTGATAGTTATTGATATGGTATCTGAATAATCTTTATAAAAATTCACAATAGAAAAGCTGTTGGTGTAATGAATTTTGCCCAGGCCTTGACTTTTATTTACCATCTACCTAGATAAGTCTGTGTTCAAAATAATAAAAGTAATCATGAGAACATGTGCTTCCCTGCTAGTTCCCTAACAATCTGTGTAAAAATGTAATTCCAACATGCCTAAGCAGCAATTCAAATTAACACCCTCCAAACAAGTTTAACCAACCAAGCAGTAAAATTAAATTCCAACCACAATCAAACAAATGTACTTAATATATTCACTGCTTGTACATCTGAACACAATTATCAAAACTTATTAATAAATTAAGGAATCTTTTTTTATTTAAAGCCAAAGAGGTAATATTTTCACCTGTATACATTCAAAAACCAAAACAAACAAAAACCCTTTCTGACAAAAGAAAGTCACACAGTTTTTAAGGAAGATATCTATTACTAAAACTTCACATTTCTCACTTTTTACCCTGTTAGCTAAATTTATATATACAATCACATAAAGAAAAATGAAGTCACAGATTTTAACTTGAATACATAACAATATTATTGAATTATCAATCCAATGTTTGTACTTCACATTATTAAAAACATTTATGCTGGAAATCAGATGTAAATTTATTATTTTTTACTCAACTATCAGCTTTGCTAATTTTTGATAGAGAATCCACTTAGTTACCAACAGAAAATAATTAGTTGTCTATTTAAGACAAGTATAATCCATAAAATATTAAAATACTCTATATTATAAGAGGTATACTAGATTGAAAAATATATTATTTCATCTGTATTAAATGTTATTAACCAATGCATTTTTACTGAACTCAAATCAATTACAGACTATTCTTTTAATTGAGTAATGTCTTGACCAACTTTATGCAAATTTTATTACTACTTTTACTGTCACTATTTATCATACACCCTCTGATTTTGAATGAAAGCCAGGATCTTTGTGCTGCTCACAGATCAATTCATATAATGATTGTAATAGTGACTTGAACCATGGTTTAGCAGTTACAAGCATTGTACTACTCTTGCAGAAGAAACCAGTTTGAGTGCCAGCATCATTGTGAGGCCAGTCACAACAGTCTGGCTTCACCCTAGAAGATGGGGCTTCCTCTCCTGCCTCCTGTGGGTACTGAATTCATGTGTACATACCCCCCCCCCCCCCCCCACACGCACTTACATACACTTGTGCTTAAAACTAAATCTTTTTTTTAAAAGGAGTTGTGTATTAAAATAATGAATGGTACTGAACTTAGCTTAAGTAGTACTGATAGATTTTACAGAAAAATATTTTCATTAAGGAACACAGTCTGTGTGTTGGCTTCATGCCTGTTGATCACAGTATGGTAAGAAAAGCAGTTCAACAGAGTCAAACATTTTATTGAATTGACATTTTCTTCAATTGTTTGTTAAATAATGGAGTTGGATTTATATAAACTCTTTCAGAATTTAGTCCAAATAATGTAATACTTCTCTACATGTTACTAAAGGATGCTATTACATTAGTTAACGACAGATCTAGTTGACTTGTCAATCTCAAGGTAAACAAAGCAAGGATGCAGGACACATGGATCTCCCTAAGAAAGGAATGAAATACATTTTGTATGTGGACTGGGGATGGGTGGAGATTGGACCAGGAAGGGGTCAGGTGTTGGGGGAAGTTATGGAGAGAGAATGTGGGGTCTGAGACAGACAGAATTGGGGGTCATTTGGGGAGCAGCATGGGAACTGCGGTGGAAACTTTCTGGAACCTAAAAGACTGATCCTAGGACTCCTAGTAATGGAGGGTAGTGAACTGAACTGACTATCTTTTGTAGCTGGGCAAAGTTTCCAGTGGTAGGACTGAGTTGCATTTGACTCAGTTGTTGTGTGAGGTGGTCCTGTGAGGATTCACAAACAACCCAGGCTGATGCTGGGACAGAAGGTGTCTCTTAAAACTAACAGTCCACCCCCATTTTGGAGCACATTATCGGCAGAGCTCAATGAATGTAGAAAGGAAGAGCTGGTACTTGCCAAGGCCTCTCACTCCTATTACAATCTAGTCTCTTTGTCATCAGAAGGCACTCTTCAGGGCTACAGAAAGAGAAACCAGGACACTAACCCACCCTGAAACGTTGAACCTACAATCTGTCCTGCTTGCCAGATGTGCTGGGGCAATGCTTGTACAGAACTTGTGAGAGTGGTCAACCAAAGTCTGGATTAACTTGAGTCCCAAGACATGAGAAGAAGCCCATGCCATACACTGGCTGAATGGTGAGGAACCAGAACCTGGAGTAGAACCACACACAATTAGGGGAGTCTAACTTGGAGGTCTCCATCCAGGTGACTGGAGAAAAAAATTCCTGTTTCCCCTGGGTTGCTCTTTGTTGATGTGATAAGAAGCCACTTTAGATATGGATGAAAATTCATGGAACATCTTGCAAGAAATGCCAACAAAATCTAGTTGATTAGAAATTCAATGACTGTGGAGAGGTTATAAAGCTGACTCTATTATAAATTATCATGGGTACCTTAACCTTCCCATTTGCAAGAAACTGCCGACTTTTGTGCATAACCTAATATCCTATGGCTACTGGGGGAAAACAAACAAGAAACTGCCGACTTTTGTGCATAACCTAATATCCTATGGCTACTGGGTGAAAACTTTTAGAATCTTTTATATTAGAAGGTGACTACTATCCACTATGAGTTCGAGGCCAGCCTGGTCTACAGAGTGATTGCCAGGATAGGCTCCAAAGCTACAGATGATAACCTATCTGAAAACAAACAAATGAAAATAAATAAATAAATAAATAAATAAATAAATAAATGCAAGCTAAGAATTTCATCAGATACCTTTTGTAGTCTATGATAAAAATATCCCTGCTTAAATGTAACCTGCCTAACGATTCTTTCACCAATGTAGTTAATATAAACAAACAAAACTTGATTCATGACTTTATGAAACTGTTAGCATTGAGAACAGAATTTGGCATTTCCTGGAATCTATATTGCTATAATTGTCTCCAAAATAAAGTATCTCATCTTATTATGAAGGTTGTTACTTTGCATAGACAACAACCTACCCACTGGACTTGTTGCTAAGTAGAAGGGATAAACATGGGTATTTTTATCTCCAAGGCCTGAAACTTCATTGCTCCACTATATAAGTGAGTGATTAGCACAATAATTACTAGAGATCTAGGAAATGGCTGTGGCAGGAACTTAAAGAAATGGATAAAACCAGATCTTGTAAACAGCCTAGATGCCCCTCAATAGAAGAATGGATAAAGAAAATTTGTATATTAAACAATGGAGTACTACTCAGTGGTAAGAAACAATGACATCCTGAAATTCACAGGCAAATGGGCAGAACTAGAAAAAAACCAACCTAAGTGAGGTATCCCAAAACCAGAAAGATTAATGTAGTATGTACTCACTCACAAATGGATACCAGACATAAAGCAAAAGATAAACAGCCTACACTCCACAAACCCAGAGATGCCTGAACCCTCTTCCAGAAACAGATGGAAACAGATACAGAAATCCAAAATTAACCAATGGTCCATGCTCCTAGAGTACAAAAACAAACGTGAGGGCAGAGCAAAAATATGAACAAAGGAGTTAAGACCATGATGGAGAAACCCACAGAATCAGCTGACCCGAGCTAGTGAAAGATCACTAACTCAGGTTTGACAAATGGGGAATCTGAATAAGACCAAATTAGACTCCCTTAATATAGGTGACAATGGTCTGACTAGGACAATATATGAGGCCACTGGAAGTGGGTCCAAGACCTAACACTAATGTACAAACTGACTTAGTTGAACCCATTCGAAATGGATAGATACCATGCACAGATTAGACACAGAGGTGTGGGAGTGGAGAGGTGCCTTGGTCCTGCCTCAACTAGATGATAGAACAGACTTAGTAGATTTCCTGTGGGAGGCCTTACCCTCTCTGTGGAGCAGATGGGAAGAGGGGGGAGTGGAGGGAGTGGGAGGGAAGGTGGGAGGGGGAAATGGGATCGGATGCTCCACCTTAATGAAGAATAATTTGGATTAACAAATTTCTCTCTTTCAGCTACAAAATATTCTCAGAATTCTTGAACTCTTTCCAAATTAGAACACAAAATAAGTTTTATCAAATTGATATACACTTTTTTATGTTGTCAGAATATAATACTATATAACTAGAATATAGCACCAACATAAGTAACATATTATATATAAAAGAAAAAGATTGATCAAAGTATCAATCAAATAGACACCAAAACAAGACAATAAAAGTGTAATGAAAAAAAGTATTTGATCTTATAGAAGATACACATGATTCACAAATGCAAAAAATCAATAAAGTTAGTAGTGAAAATAATAGTATTACAACAGAAAGCAGTAAAATACGAAGGATCATTAGGGACTGATTGGGAGAATTGTTTGCTAGTAAATTAGAAAATCTAGACAGAACACACTAATTCCTAAGCATATATAATCAATAAAAATACAACTAAGAAGTTACAGGGAAAGTAAATGGATCTGAGAAGAACAAGGCAGAGGCCGGAATCATTTCCTCAGAGGAAAACATTTCGAGCAAATGGAGTCACTGTTCCATTTCCCATCACTTAAATGAATTCACATCAATGTTCTTAAAACTATGCCTTAAAAGAAAAAGAAAATGGCTGTTTCCAAACTCATGCAACAGGTCAAATGAACACACTACCAAGACTGAAAAGGATATAATACAATGACAATAGAGAGCAGAAATATTTAAAATGAATTTTATAAGCATTGTGACAAAAATATTCTCAAAAACATATTTCAACTAACTCAATAAAATTTTAGAAAATTCCTATGTCACAATTGATTGTGTTTGTGTCAGGAGCACTAGGTTATATAACAAGTACATGGTAATAAATGTGATAGAATACTGAATGTAATAAAGGACTAATATTAAATGATTGTTTCATTTTATGCAGATCAGTTTTCCACATAATTTAGCATCACTTCATGGCAAATTTCTTGAAGTAATTAAGATATGAAGCATTTAAATCTGTGTAATAAAAGAAACATAATAAACTCACACTCAACATTATATTGAATGACAAAATTCTAGGTTGATTCTCAATAAAATCAAGGAGAAAAGAGTTTCCTCTCTATTCATTCTTATTCATTATAGACACAGAATTTGAGCAAGAGCAATATGAGTAAAAATAAACACAAGAGTGATGCTAACTCTAGCCACTTGTACCAAGATGATGCATCACTTTCATTTAACAAATATTTATTACTTAATATGTTGCAAGAGGTCTTTTAGTCAGTAAATATTCAATTGACAAAAAAAGTTGAAAATGACACTGTTTTGTCCAGGAATATTTGTGAAGTAATAAATAAAAAAAATCAAGGGATAAAAAAGCATTAGGGGCATCAAAATATACACTGCACTTACACATAACAAGCATAATAAATTTGATATGTAGATCATAGCAAGTCTTGGAACATAATATAGGACACTTCTTATACTAATTTAAGAAAATATTGCATTCATATATTGCTAACATAGGCAAAAGGAATTTGCCATTATAAATTAGATTTGTAACTATCCAATAGGATATGAAAATCATTTCATTTTAGTATTAGCTCTGGAATAAATAAGGCACAGAATATGGCTGTTAGATATTATCTTGGGCATTGAATAGGTGCCATTAATCTCAGGGAATGTGGCTCCAGTGCCTCTTCTTGCCACCATTATATTGCAGATTCTGCTTTCATCTCTTCTTATATTATGTAAGGAGCAAAATCATGCTTGATAGCTCCAATATTCATATTATTATCAGTTTCCAAATCCAAGTGTTTTAGCATCATGTTAAATTAAGCTAGTAATTGAATACTAGATTATATATAGTTGAAAGACCTGGGAAATATAAACAAAACTATAGGAAGATCAAGGTGTTCTAGGTGAAATTTATTTTACCTGATTTTTCAAGTTGTATAATTTAAGCACTCCTTTTCTATTTCAAACATTTTATTTTATAGAAATAAACATTATTTAGAGATTATCTCAAGGCTATTTCGGTGTATATGTGATATTGCTTCAATGTGAAATCACTATAGACTCCTCACTTCTCCCATAGCAACCCTAGAAATGATACAAACAAAGCAAAAATGTAACTGTTGTGGAATATTAGTTTAATATGTGTTACATCCATTTATGCCATGGAATATTTGTTTAATGATGCAAAGATGTGTTCAATTCTTTTATGTTCCATTTGTTTAAATCTGCAATGTTGTGTTACTTTGCTCACCCAAAACACCTGATTGGGCTAATAAAGAGCTAAATTGCCAATAGATAGACAGTAGAGAGAATAGGAAGGGCTGTGACAGAGAATGAATTGAAGGAGACATCTAGGGAAGGAGTAAGGAGTGAGTAAATGAGGACAGGAGGACAGCAGAGCCAGCCACGCAGCCACAGAGCCAGCTGCAGAGTAAGAAGGAAAGATGAATATAAAGAAAGGTAAAAGCTCAAAGGCAAATCATAGTTAAAGAGAAATGGGATAATTTAAATTGGAAAAGCTGGCTAGAAACTAGCAAAGCTAAGACTGGGAATTCATAAGTAAGAGTAAGTCTCCATGTACATTTCTATTTGTTGGGCCCCCAAACAGAAAAATAAAAGAACAACAACAACAACAACAAAAAAAAAAATTACATGTGGCTGTACTTGCTTCCTGGTGTATTTTCTCCATGTGCCTACTTCTAAAATATTCTGGGCATTTGCTCACAAGAGGCTCTGTAATGACAAGTGAACTGTTTCCCTTCTTCAAAATAATATAAACACACAACCCACTTTCTACACTGGCACTAGATCAACGAAGCAATCTAAGAAAATCTGCTGAGTTGCTAAACACTTGTGATTGAACATTGTGTCACTGATGAAAAAGAAGTGAGAATGGTATTTTTAGAGGATTTCACTCATTCAAATTGTAATAGTGTTTTCCTGTAACTTATGACCAGCATTATTTGTTTTTTTCCTTTATGCCTTATTATAAGTTACCCCTAATTTATTATGCCTCTGGCCAATCACCATATTATACAACAGAACTTTTTAATGGTTTTTTTTCCTTGATGGGAATTGTGTGTGTGTGTGTGTGTGTGTGTGTGTGTGTGTGTGTGTGTGTGTGATCCAATAGTTGAAAATGTAGTTCTCAGCTGTATTGTTGGGGATGTCTAGAAGATATAGCCTTGCTATAGTATGTCACTGGTATCAAGATTTAAATTAAAGACCTTGTTGTCCTTTCTAGCATGCTATCTGTTTCATCCCTGCATTTGAAAATAAGAGTTCTCAGCTGCTGTTCCTGGCGTCACTTGTAACCATGAGGGATTCTTATTCCATGAGTACAAATAAACACTTTCTTGTATAAGTATGCTTAGTCATTGTGTTTCATCAAAAGAACAGAAAGGTGAATAATGCAACCACACAAATACATCATGCACTGAATGTATCACAGTGCAAAAGGGATCATCCAGAATAGACACCTCTATGTGTGCTCAAACATATGTGTCCTTTCTTTCCTGGTCA